TGGAACCGCTGGTTGTTACGTGAACCGGAAACGTCAAGAGGTTCGAAGATTCGTCCAAAAGAGTTAATTTAAGGATTTCTGCACGGAGCTCAAACGAAAGATTGCGTTGAAGGATGTCCGCACTGTTGCTGAGTTAAAACTACCGAAACAAAGCTTGCAGTACGAAAAGATAGCTGGAAAGTACCCACATCTACACAATATTCCCGCTATGAGCTATGGGCTCGAAGAACCAAGGATTATTCTTGGACTGGACAACTTGGACGTATTCGCTCCTCTCACCTGGGGAGCTAATCGGCGGAAATCCAAGCTGGGGTGGACGATTTACGGCCCTCAACAGAGTGGAGCCGTAGTATCAGACGTCAGAGTCAACTTCCACTCATTGAAACCGTTGAGCAACCAAGACCTTCACGACGCTATGCGTAGCCAGTTCCTGTTGGATGATCCCTCAGTAACATCGGTTACGGTATCAGCCGAAACCGTACGAGCTCGAAGCATTATGCAAGCGACGACAGTACGAGTTGATGACCGGTAAGAAACCGGATTGCTATGGCGACAAAAAGAGCGAAGGTTTCTGGATAGCTATCCAATGGCGATGTCACGACTGAAAGCTTTAGAGAGAAAGTTAGAACGTGTAATCCGGAACTTCGATCGAAGGTCCTTAAACAGATTACCGATTACCTGGTTAAAGGCTATGCGCACAAGGCTACTATCGAATATTTGGCTTAGATGGCAGATGGAAACGTCTGGTATCTTCGCTTGAACGTGGTTCTCAACCCTCGAAAACCAGGGAAAGTGCACCTCGTATGGGACGCGAGAGCGTCCGTCAATGGCATATCGTTGAACACGGAACTACTAACACGCCCTGATCTACTGGTTCCACTCCAATCGGTAATCAGTATGTTCCGTGAAAGAAGCAGGGCATCTGCATTTTTATCAATTTTGAGTTAGCATCATTATTCAGTTTATCTTTATATGTTATTTGAGATGTGCTATTGAAAAAAGGTGGATTGTTCAAGAAAAATGAAAAACAATACCAAGTCAAATTGAGCCACAGCGAAAAGTAACCATTAGAAAAAAAATATGTTAGAAACGTTAGACAACACATCGCATCATGAGATATGTCTCAAGACAGAGTTTCTTCACTACCACTAGGGTAGCTGTAACATGTCCGGATGTGGCCAATATAGTTCTTACGATACTCATGGATAGGGCTTTGAATTCTCATGTGATTTGATGTATCGCTTGATGGATTTTGATTTAAACAGAATTTACCACTTCCCCGGGGATACCCGGAACATACTCAAATGTAGTAAAAAATATGGATAAATTCAAATTGATTTTATACGAGTTTAAAAAGTAACATACCTCCAATTTTTTCATATTATTGAGAATAACATACGCCCTTTCAAATGCCGTAAAAAAACTTTTTTTTTGTTTGCCCCAACCAGAGATATTAACATTTGAAAAGTGCATATTTTTAGTATAAAAACGTCAATAACTCTTGATCGGCGAAATATATTGACAAGCTTTGTGCAGCAAAAATTTGTGCCTTCTTAAGATCTAAAAGTTATCTTTAGACACCTTTGATGAGAAATTCGAAATAAAAAAATTAGAGCTAAAAACTATTTTTTTAAGAGCCACCTTAACTCAATTCAAGAAAATAGCTCTAAATCGGCCAATTTAAGAGATACAAAAAAGTTATTTTCAACAAAGTTGCTTGAAATTAGCTCAGCTATAACTTTGCCGAAGAATGTATACCTTAATTTTTTCAAGCAAAAAAGTTAGATTTTTGATTTTAATGATAATAGGAACCACCCTAGAATTCATTGTCATAAAAATGAGGGCGTAACTATAAGGAACAAGTTTGTAGAAGAGACTTTTAGTCTAAAGTTTCAATTTCAGGCTCAAAACATATCATTCCACCTAAATCTGCATTCTGGACCACTGTGCAGTGGCAGAATTGAACGAAAATTGACAGCCGTTACTAATTGCAGAGTCATTTTCAAGTACATTTACTTGTAACAATTAAGCGGTCGCTTGGTAGAGCGACTCAACTATTTGATTCCTAGATTTAAACTATTCTATTCTATTTTTTTTTTAATTAATCCATATCGCTAATTTTCCATCGTTCCGACTTCAATCTAGCATTTTCGAGTTTGCCCTCGGTGAGAACATTTTTCACATTCTTTCAGTTTCTTGCCTTATTAGTTCAACTGCTGTCAGTGCTGCGTATATGTACAGTCATCTGCTTGATGGAATCAACACTTGTTCAATTATTTTTTAGCTTTCAACCATAGCTATTTCGCTGCTCGCTTGAATGAATTAATTTACCAATAATTGATTCATTAAAAATCGGTTAAAATGCCAAAACACAATGTTTTGCAATCTCCTATACTATCACCTTAGCTTGGGTCCCATCTTATTGCTCAATTCCGGATAATGAGAAAGCGGACTCGTTAGCTAAGGTGGGCACTATGGAAGGCGATATTTTTGAGCGACAAATCGCCTTCAACGAATATTTCTCCATTGCTCGTCAGCAAGTCCTCATCAGTTGGCAACAAAAATTGAATGATGGTGAATTGGGAAGATGGTTACATTCTATTCTCCCACAGGTGTCGAACAAACCATGGTTCAAAGGGTTGGACATGAGCCGCGACTTTATACGCGTTATGTCAATGCTAATGTCCAACCACTATTCGTTAGACTCGCATTTATATCGAATTGGGCTCTCAGGCAGCGTATAGCAGTGGTTATCACGATATCGAGCATGTTGTTTGGTCATGTACCTTACACCGTGTTGCCAGATCTGAGTTATCCACATCCCTCAGGGCCCGAGGAAAAAAACCTGCGATACCCGTTAGAGATGTCTTGGCGAGCCGAGACCTCGACTGAGGATTTAGCAGTAAGTGTCATCTTGTGTTCTCCCAAGTTGTTAGCTGCCCATCGGTGTATCCCCATGTTTGTCTTTTTCATCAGAGTGTCGCCTAGTTCGAGATCAAGAGCACATTGCTCTCCAAACCTTGTGTTCACAATCCCTACCCTGCCATCCATTTTTTACAATTTGTTACCCCTAACCTCGAGATAGCCGCGAGTAATTGGCCCCCGCTTTACTAACGTTAGTTTTAAGTAATTTTGTTATCTAAACAAAGAATATCGGCTCCGCAAAGCTACAGCAAATGAGCCTGGAAAAATAAACGAATGATTAAAAAAAAATTACAAATTGTAACAAAATCGTTTTCACAACTTTCAATGAAACAGTAACCATAATACTTTAAGGGAGAAAGTTTTAATACCTTCTGATTCTACTTGAGTGCCTTTAGTGCTCCATAAATGGCCCTCATTGTGACTCCAATTTACATGTATTTTAAAGTGAAGTTAACGATTTACATAGTTGGAGATGCTTAACGTCAAATATCAGACTTAAGATGAGGAGATGAAAGTATAGAGTTTAGTGGTTCCGTTATAGTACGGCAGTGTGAAAATTGTTCTGTGTGTGTGTACCTTCCACCACCACTGGCAAACATTTAAGGCAGGCCCTAATTTCTTTGTTAATGATTCGTCTCTGAGTCTCCAGGTATGCCTCTACTTCGCTATCTCGCCGGGTTCCGATCCTTGCATAGTGTGTGGCCAACCGAACATCGCTTAGGCTCTCGAATTTCCGTTGACGACATCCACGATGGAGCTCACCATTCGATATCCAGTTGTGAGGCCAACTTGCACAAACTATAAATAAAGTAGGCATGTAATATTAAGCTCCTGTCGTGATTCTAGAAGTTATTCTTAGTCAATTAATTTGTGAATTCTAAGTAGTTATGCGAGGATTTTAAGATGAGATCGGCATTTCGCGAGTATTTCCCAAGGATTCTACCCTTACTTTTTAAATCAAATATTGCTAGCCGCTAGGAGAAACAGTACCACTAAAAGAGCGCTCGATGGTCTTCATGGAGTAGAATGCTTGACGGAGGAGATCTTACGCAAATTTCAATAGTAGGTGAAGTCAGTCATTCGTGCCAAACAATGGGGATAAGTTTCTATCAGGCAAGAATAACCACTCACGTCAAACCCAATCTGCCCTGCAATGACACTCTTACTTACATCACGAATCACTGGGCACGATTTTGCCGGCTGCAGGAATGTTGTTCTCTCGTTCCACTTCAAATTACCGTCAATTCTCACGTGCGACATGTGCTAAATACAAAACGCCTGTGTTCTCCCCGCGGATAACACCCTTCGGATCCATTTGTTACCTGAGTGAGGTGACATTTTCCAGTGTAAGGTATCTTCCATTTATCCATCCATCCACCCACCCACAAATACTCACACATACATAGAGAGTCTATCCGCAAATTTCATCAAGCACCCTTTCTACGACTGGCTGGTTGGCAGACCTGACCTATATTACGGTTTTATGTAACGTTGCGCCGGGCCAACTCTCGCTCTGTCGCTTCTCTTTCTAGCACCAGCAGTCGAAACCGAAAGGCAAAAGTTGAACCCCAAACCAAGGCATTCTCGTGGTTGATGAATGTCGCGGGACAACAAGGCCCGGCAGAGTAGGATTGGCGGAAGGGGAGGGTCTCGAAGGGTATCGATTCACACTGACTGCTGTGCTGCGGCGCTCACTCGTGCAAAACTTGCGGTGATGGCAACCAAACGTGTACATTTGCAAGACGAAGGAATAGGAATATAATATCAACCGAGTCGGGTTTGGGCTTGGCAGGTCTCGGTCTCTCTCTCTCTCACACTATATTTTCACTACGTGTGTAGCTATCCCTGGTGGGCTCTCTGACTGGAAATCGTTTGCGACACTAACAGCTGTTCCACTGGCGTGAGCTAGTGCGGGAGCAGCATTCCTTGCAAATATCCAACAGGGGGCCTATGCACGCCTATGACGTGCACTTAAGATTCTGTGTTGTATGACCTTTTTCAGATAAAAAAAAATATCTCTCAAACAGCGAATCAAATATTTATGTGTTTGCATTTTCTCGTTGGAATCTTTGCAGTAAGCGCCATCGTTGAGTACGACTACACGGCCAAGGAATCGGACGAGCTGACGCTGAAGCGAGGGACCACCGTTACCAACATCAAGATTCAACCGGGCGGCTGGTGGGAGGGCACACTGACGGCTACCGGCAGGACCGGTATGTTTCCGGACAACTTTGTCCGGGTGCTGGAACCGGACGATAAGAATCCGGTCGTATTAAGGTAACACCTCATCCGAGTGAAGCCACTGTTGCGAACCTAACACAACTTTCAACTTTTCCAGAGACAAAACAGCCGCCCTGAACCGCCGATGTAAGGTCATCTACAGCTACCAGGAGAACAAACCGGACGAGCTGACGCTGGCCGTCGGGGATGTCGTGGAAATTTTCGAAGAAGTGAGTCGTTTTAGTCAACACCAATCAACCTTGCTTAATCATCGACGCATTCCAAAAATTGCAGGTGGAGGAAGGCTGGTGGCGGGGAAAACTAAACGGAAAGGTCGGCGTTTTCCCATCGAACTTCGTCGAACTGATAGAATCGGCGTCGCCCATGTCGGCGAACCGCAAGAGCAGCACCGGAGGACCGAAACCGACTGCCGGACTGCTGATGGACGGCAGCAACAGCATAGGAAGTTTGTCCAAAACGAACAGTTTGAACAAAAGTCGAAGCAGTCTGAACAGTTCCCGGGAAAATCTGGACGATGTGATATCTAATCAGCACCAGCAGCAGCAGCAACTGTTGTTCGATGCCCCGTCGCTGCCGCCGAAGCCGGTGCGGGATCTGTGCAAGGTTCTGTTCGCCTATGTCCCGGCCAACGAAGACGAGCTGCGGCTCGTGGAAGGCGATATCATTACCATCCTGACCAAGGAGCTGCCCGACAAGGGCTGGTGGAAGGGCGAACTGAAGGGGCACGTCGGGGTGTTCCCGGACAACTTTGTGGTGGTGCTGCCTCCTGAGAGTGAGTATACTTGTTTTGGTTTTTTTTGTCGGCTGATTTTCGTCCTGGTGGTGGCGCTGACCATGCTTGGCATACACAGTTGTACACACCAACTGCTCATTTTTTAATAACTTTTCACTCAGTTGTTGAAATTTGTTTTTCTTTAAAGTAATTGATAGATTAGGATCAAAGTTTACTGTTGATATGGAAAGAGTAGATAAATATTAACATTTGAACCAACACCAATGCATTTTTACACTAAAAGTCCGAGATGTGCGGCGAGCATTTCTCACTTGCGTTGCAAAAAACGCAAAATCGAATACAGTTTATTACTACAATTAAAATCTACTTTTTTTACGTATCTTTAACAAGCTTAAACTCTATTCTATCTACTGCTTCGTCAACTGTGTGCAAAGTTATTAACAAAAGAGCAGTTCGTGATCAAAACTGTGTATGCCAAGCATGGCACTGACCGAATGCGTTTAGTTTGAGAACTACTTTGGAGTTACATTTGAAGTTCTGCTGAATTTATGATTAAGACTTCTTTAAACTTGTTTGAGAATCCATCTTCAATTAGCTTGGGAAATGCCTTTGGCCTCTGTTGAGAGGAATAAAACGGCCGACTGAGATTCGAGAGCATGTATTTTCAAGCGCTTCAAAAATTCAGTTTGCCTTTCAATATTCCAACAATTCCTAAATGCCAGCTTCCGGCCCTAATCCAACAACGAGTCCAACAGATACCTGTTTCCCCTTCGATTTAATCCTCCTTCCAACTAATCACTACTAAATTACTTCTGCAACGTGCCTTTCTATTCAACGGTCACTAGCGGTTTACTTTAATAATTATTTAACTAGTATAATGCAACTTAACAAAGACAGAATTCAATTCTCTACAGTATAATAGAAAGTATGTTGGCTGCCGAAACCCAAGCGCTGTTTTGTCCGTTTGACGTTTATGCTGATGTCCCGGAGCAATGGGCGCTCCTGTCACGACTCCGTAACGGTTGGCAGTGCGGCCAACTCTACAGCGGCTGCGACATCCTCCCCCGGGTGCATCTTGGGATCTGCCAAGACTGCACTACTACAGCCTACATCCAGCAGCGCCAGCTTTGCTACTGGCCAACGTAGAATGCCTCCGGAAGTCTGCACCTTAGCTTGACGTACTCTGCCGTCGGTCCCGACGATCGTCTGGACTACCCGTCCACGTATCCAGTTGTTGCGCTTGCTGCCGTTGACTATCAGCACCAAGTCCCCTTCTTGTAGTGGCCGAACCTCCACGAACCACTTTGGTTGCCGCCGTATCACTGGCAGGTACTCCACAATCCAGCGATACCAAAAACGATCCGGCTTTTGCTGGATTTGGTCCCACGTGCCCTTCAGACGATGCTGTGCCTGACCTGATACTACACTCGGTTGGTTGGCACCGCTCGAGCTCCCCATCAAGAAATGGTTCGGCGTCAATGCTTCTGACTCCGCAGAGTCCAGGGGCAGGTAGGTCAGAGGCCTTGAATTTACGATGCTTTCCGCTTCCACGACCAGCGTTTGTAGTCCCTCATCGTCCAACTTCCCCTCAGTGTACGCGTCCATCATAGCTTTCTTGACGGACTGCACAAGTCGTTCCCATGCGCCCCCCATGTGTGGGGCACCAGGAGGTATGAAAGTCCACCTCGTTGATGAATTGGTGAACGTTGAAGACAGTCCCTGGCTTATCTGTTCTCGCAGTAGGCGTTCAGCTCCCTGGAAGTTGGTCCCGTTATCGCTGATGAATTCTACCGGTGAGCCACGTCGTCCAACAAAGCGCCGCACACAGGATACACACGAAGACGTCGACAAGCTGAATGCTACCTCTAGGTGTACCGCACGCACTGTGAGGCACGTGAATAGCGCAATCCATCTCTTAACGCTGGATCTCCCGACTTTCACTAGCAGCGGCCCGAAGTAGTCCACTCCTACGTAACTGAACGGCCGGGCGTGAACGGCTAGTCGTGCTGGTGGCAACGGTGCCATTGGCGGGATATTCGGACGAGCCTTGCGTAGTTTGCACACCATACATGTACGAGTGAAATTCTTAACGAGCGAACGGAGCTTCGGTATAACAAAGACTTGACGAATCTCGTTTACGATAGTTTCCGTGTTGGCATGACGGTACTTACGATGGTATTTCTCGACTACCAGTCTTGTTACCCAATGTTCTCTGGGCAGAATCACTGGATAGCGCATGTCAAATCTGACACCTTCAGCAGCTCCAATTCTACCGTGCTGTCGTAACAATCCGTCCTCGTCGATCACTGGAATCAGCTGATAGATCCTACTGCTCTTGTCTAGTGGCTTCCTTTCATTGATCGGTAGGCCTGCGTTCCGCTGGAGTATGTCCTTCTCATTAGGAAACGATTCCCATTGAACGAGCTTCAAAACGGTCACTTCCGCTGCAAGGAGTTCGTCCTGTTCCAATTGTCCTCTTCTTCTTGGCTGTCTCTTGGCGGCGTTGCGCTGGAAGCGCAGAACGTATCCTACAGTGCGGTGTAGTCGCTCCCATGACGAAAACCTTTCGTAATCGATGATCCGCTCGATCTTAGTGTGGTGCAACACCGACGCTCGAATCTCTTCCGTGATGTTCACGGACGGTGGTACGGTACTTGGCCACTCGTGCTCAGGTTGCTGCAAGAACTTCGGCCCGTCGAACCACTTGCTCTCGTCCGAAAAATACGGTCCGCATCCCCATTTGGTCGCTTCGTCGGCTGAGTTGAAACGCGACCGTATCCACTTCCATTCAGCAGCATTTGTGTTCTCCAGTACTTCTCCTACTCGGTGGGCTACGAAGGGCTTGAAACTACGAGGGTCCGATCGTATCCAGTGCCATGCCGTGGTGGAGTCGGTCCAAAGAACCCTCCTTTCTACCCGAATCGTGTGGTTTTCTTGCACGAATTTCAAAAGGCGTGTTCCGAGGACACAGGCTTGAAGCTCAAGCCTCGAAATTGACATGGGCTTAAGCGGGGCAACTTAAGCTTTACCAGCAACCAGTCCACAACGTATCACTCCGTCTCCGTCTTTGGCGCGCAAGTAAACAGCGCACGAATACGCTGCAGGGCTTGCATCGACAAAAACGTGTAGTTGCGCTCCCCCGTAAGTATCTTCGGTAGCTCGTGGAAAGTAGCACCTCGGAACCTTGATTGTCGATACAAATTCAATCATCTCCACCGATCGTAGGCAACGTCTTCAATAGCTTCATCCCAGTCGGTTCCTGCTCGCCACAAATCCTGAATCAGGACTTTTCCGTGTATCAGGAACGGAGCTAGTAACCAGAGCGGGTCGAACAGCGTCATTACGCAGCGAAGCAGCTGCCGCTTAGTTGGCACGTTTCCGCTTTCGATGAGATCTCGCACCTCCTCACTCATACGAGTAGAAAAGCACAGCTCGTCCGCAGCAGGCTTCCACAGCATTCCCAGTACCCGTTCCGATGATTCGCCAACTCCCATGTACAGATTCTTGCTTTCGACTGTCTTGGGTTCTCCCAGGTGATGCAGAACTTCATTGCAGTTCGAGTTCCAGTTTCGTAGGTGGAACCCCCCATTCCGGTGTACATGTCGCACATCTTCCGCTACCTGCTTCGCTTCCTCAACGCTTCCGAAACTATCTAAATAGTCGTCGACATAGTGACTGCGCAGAATACCATCCGCGGCACGAGGGAACTGATCAGCATGCTCCTTTGCGTTCAAGTTCTTGACGAACTGCGCCGATGCAGGTGAGCAGGTTGCTCCGAAAGTCGTAACGTCCATCACAAATACCTCCAATGGCTGTGTTTTGTCCTTCCGGTACAAGAAGCAGAGTGCGAACTTATCTGCCTCCCTCATGAATACTTGGTGGAACATCTCCTGAATATCCGCATTAACCGCCACCCAGAATTGGCGGAACCGAAACAACACCGCAGGCAACGCTGTCAACTGATCCGGGCCTTTGAGCAGCATACTATTCAATGATATGCCACCAGCTTTCGCTGCAGCATCCCAAATAGCGCGCACTTTTCCGGGTTTTGTTCGGATTGGTGACCACACCTAACGGCAAATACCACGTTCTCGCTGGATCCGCTTTCTCCAATTCCTCTGTTGACGCCCGGTGGGCGTATCCCTTTTCTTGGTACTCCTGGATTTGTCGATGGAAGTTTTCGTTCAACGCAGGATCCCGATCTAGTTTCCGTTCAAGACACTGCAGTCTACGCACAGCCATGCCGTAGCTGTTGGGAAGTTTGACGTCATCCTGCTTCCACAGCAGCCCCGTTTCAAAGTGTTCTCCCACGCGTCTCGTAGTTTGCTCCAGTAACCGCTGCGCTCGTTCTTCTTCCTTGGTGAGGATGGCTTGACTTGGGGTCGCTCCGTTCTCTTTCACTGCAAAAAACTGCTTGATTGTTTCGTGCAACTTGCTGCTTGTTTCGCACTCACACACGTGGAAGCTGTAGCCTTCGCTAAGCCGCTCCTTCTGCTGCCCGTATACACACCATCCCAATCGTGTCTTCACTGCAGACGGACCTGTTCCGTCTCCTTCACGTATCTTCAGTGGCAACGCCAGCCGTAAATTGTCGAGGCCGATGAGAACTTTCGGAACCGCCCCTTGATAACTCTGCACTGGAATTTGCCTCAGATACGGATGTTCCTCAACAGCTTTATCGTAGTCGAAACTCTGACTAGGTAGGTTGAGATTTGCCACCGTCCGCGTATTGGCCAGCTTGTACTGCCGCTTCTGTCCGACTCCGGATATTGCAATCGTAACCACCTGAGAGTTTTTCTCCACCCGAGAGGTATTCCCAGTCCACCGTAGACAGAGTGATTGTGAACTTCCCCTTACTCCTAACTGAGCTACCAGTCCACCTTCGATGAGCGTCAGTGATGAACCTTCATCCAAGAACGCGAAGGTATCCACGCGTCCTGAGCTGCCATGGAGCGTAACGGGAACAATTCTGAAAAGAACGCTCAAGTCTGCAAAACGATGTGTGTGATTTTCAGCTACTAGGGGAATCGACTGCACCGGTGACCTTCCATGTAGTAACGGATGATGGCGGTACTGACAACCACGCACGTTGCACCGACTGTCACTGCGGCACGAACGTTTTCCATGTCCGGAAATCAACTTGAAACTATTAGTGGGATTTCAATTATTCTAAAATTTCCCTAGAATTCCAAGTGAAGTTCTTTGGAAATTTTCCTTTTGAATTTCTTCTAGAATTCCAGTGTTAAAATGCTCTCGAATTTCTGGAAACCGCAGTTATCTTAAATTTTGTTAAATCCTATCTTAATTCCCTTCAATTTTTTTAAAAGGATTCAGTCGGGAAAATCTATTTAGATTTCCTGTCCTAGTTTTTAATTATTGTTGAATACCATAATTTTGCACATTTAAGACCGAATTTTGAATGCACAGTATCCGTTCGATTTTGGCACGGTTAAATTTTTGCAACTAAACCACAAAACCGTTCGTTTTTGCTCCTTGTGATATTTTTTAAATACCTCTGAAACTTTGTTACAAACTCTTCTGGAGTTTTCTTCGGAGCTCTTCTGGAATGACACCACTGACTGGACAGTTGCTTACCGACCCAGCTGAAACGCTGGCTTGAGCACTTCGAACAACTTCTTCAAGTTTCGACGGCCAACCAGCCATCAACATCTCGGCATGATCCGCTTAGGGTGGGGCGCATCACTCGCATCAATTCCGAGGCCCTTTCACTGCAGGAGATTGAAGCAGCTATCCGAAGCATGAAATCCAACAAGGCTCCAGGGGTCGATCGCATACCAGCAGAGATGCTCAAAACTGACCCCATGCTATCCGCTCAAATATTGCATCAACTATTCTGTAATATCTGGGACAGCGCGACTTTTCCGGCCGACTGGATGCAGGGCGTTCTAGTGAAGATCCCAAAGAAGGGGTTTTCCTGAATCGGATACAGAAGAAGATCGACGCGACTCTGTCACACTTCTCATCATCCTGGAACAGGTCAATGAATTCCAAGAGTTCCTTTATTTGGTATTCATTGACTACGAAAAAGCTTTGGACCGACTCAATCACGAGAATCTGTGGGCGCCCTGAGACTCAAGGGAGTCCCGGATAAAATCGTCAACCTCATCGAAGCGCAGTATCAGGTTTTCACGTGCAGAGTTCTGCATAACGGAAATATCAAGAACTTTAAAAAAATACGAAAGTTTAGCTAAGTTGATTAGAGAATATCAACGAAGTTCCATTCATTTAAAACAAATGCGAGAACTTTTAGCAAGCAGCGATAAATATCTTCAAGAAATTCCAGAGAACTTAGAATTTAGATAGTTTCATGATATTCAGCGAAGTTCCGAGTACTTCGAGGACGATCAAATAGCTTTAGAATAATCCCATTAACTTAAGCAAATTTGCAGCGACTTACAAGAAATTCTGTGGAATTATGGGGTATTCCAAGAATTCTATGGTTGATCTAAAAACCTCAGGGAATTTTAAATATATAATATATATCAGAAAATTTGCCGGACAAACAAATTTAGAGTACTTTAGGTAAGCATAGTTCAGGGAAAATAAGTGAGCGTTTTTAATGGTTAGAATACATAAGGAAAATTGTCCAAACTTCAAGACAAATCAATTAATTTCAGTAAAGTTGCGGGTTGTTAAAAAATACTGATAAATTCAGGGCAACCTAGAGAACTTGAAAGAAATTCGTTTAGGCAGTTTTAATTACACCCGGAAAGTCTAGACTATTCATGAACTTCAGAAAAATCATGAGAACTTGAGTGAAAATCATAAAACTATACTTATTATTTCATTCTTATTCAATGAAATTTGCGAGAGCACAAAAGCTCAAAAAATTTAGATTAACTTCGAAAATTTCACAGGACAGTGGTATTCAGAAACATTTCGAGAACTTCATAGGAAAAATTTGGGAAGTTGTCGATGAAGCTATCCTCCGAATTCAAATTTCTTTAAGTTTTTGTCGGAATTACCTTGAAATTCTCCACAATAAGTCACCCTTTGGAAAGATTATCAGAATATTCATTGAATTCTTTTCAGATTTCCTTTTGAATCTCACTCCTTCCCTTGGGATTCTACTCACATTGAAAGCCTCCTAAGAATTCATTGGCATTTCTACTCACAATTTCTTTAGTTTTTTTTTGTCATAATTTGTTTGGAAAATTCTCTTGAATTTATTTTCCAAATTCCTTTGAAGATGTTCTGGAGTTATTCTCAGATTTAATTGTAATCCTTCTTTTAGTATTTTCAAAAAAAAAATCCTAGGACTTATGTTCCGAATTTGTTTTCTCCCACACACTTTATGAAATTATTCTCAGAATGCCCTTGGAATTTTCCTTTGAAGTTCACAGGAGTTGTGCTCCTCAGAAATTCCTAAGAGTTTTCAATAAAATTTATTTTTAATTCAATTCAGGGTCACTTTTTAGTCACTATTTTTACAACTATCAGTCACTATTAAGTCACTTATTTCTTCAGCTACCAGCCCTGCTATTAGCAGGCAGCTATTAGTGGGCAGTAATACGAACCGATCTGTTCAAAAGTGTGAAAACTAATGACATATATTTCTTATCTATCTACATACAGCCTACTGTGATCGAATGATAGGTGTAGCTTCAACCATGGGTTGCTTGTACTCCTTCAGGAGCATTCTCCTCATCCGTGAGCATATCAAATTGGTTGCTCAAATAAATTTCATCAGAAGGAGGATCAAGAGATTGGTCTTTTCTTTTGCGTTTAGGCGCCATAGCGACAGAAGACAGTTTCTTCAAATCGACTTACAAGCAGATTACTATAAGAATCCAAAGGATGGAAGAGGTATTTTCCAAATCGATATCAAAGCAGGATTACCTCGGGTAGGGTCCAAACAAGGATCGCAGAGGAATAAGAATCGAACAAGGTAGAAAATTTGCTGGTAATATTGCGGAATGGCCAGGAAGCCATCCGACCGAACCCAGTATGATGTCCACCGAACTTGGTTGATTGAAGTGGGGTTCAATTTAAGTATTAGTTGACAGTGCCAACGACTTCTCCGTTGATACCAGTGATATGTCTGAGAACCACTGTCGTCTGGAATTCTTACCTCCTGCAGTTTCCCATGACCTCCTCGAATGTTTGTTGGCATGGAAAGCTTGAACTTCTTCTCGTCCGGCTCTAACCTTCGGATTCTGCTTCTTCGAAGGTTCTCCTAAATTCCTAGAAAATTCGAAAAAGTTTCCAAAGTGTCGCAGCATTTCAGTAGGAAGTCGATGAAATCTGTAAACTTCGGATTTTCCACGTCGATAAATTATCGATTATTAGTGGATTAAATCTTCTGCGTCCACAGTGAGTGCGCCTCTCGGTCCACTTTCTCGTGCAGAAGTAGCCACCAGTTAATCCATTGTTGTACATTATATACGCCCTGTTAGTATATATATATATATTTTCGTATATCACAGAAACGACTTCTGAAGTTCTATTTCTTGGGCTTGGCTATGATCGCTCCATTTTTAATCAGCCCACCACACGCACGCGCAATGTTATCAATAATCTCTATCTTATCACCCCGTCACGATGGCTTACCCAGCAGTGAGCAAATCCGAATGAAAAAATCACACCGAAAAAAAAATAATCACCTTCCCTCGCATAAATTCCATTTCAGTTTCCCCGGTGAAGGAGTCGTCCTTCCACCCGAAACCGGAACGTCCTCCTCCGTCGAACAAGATCCTGATCGGTAAGCAGAACAACAATCAACCCGGCACGACCAACGCCTACCGGAAGGAGAGTTTCGGCTCGAAGGATTCGCTCAACGAACCGGCCGCGAACACCAACAACAAGCAGGTAACCGGTTCGCCGACCATCGGTAACGTGGCCGCCCACAGGAAATCCCTGGAAACCCGAAACGTCGAGAATCACCTGAGTACGACGACGAACAACAGCAACGCTTCGCCTGTGCTGGCTCCGGTGACGGAGAAGCCCCCGCGCAAGAGCCTGGACAGCAAGACGTCCGAAATCCGAAAGAGCTTGGAAAGCCTGGATGAAAAGAAAGGGACTCCTCCGCCGGTGCTCGGCAAGAAACCGCAGGTTCCGATCAAGAAGAGCCCATCCATTACCAGTGTTACCGGAAATTTGTTCTCCGGGTTGAAGCAGAAGGTGAAAGGAGGCGATAGCAAGCATCAGGACGGTACGGATGGAGTCTGTGGAAGCAAGATGAAGTCGGACGTTGCGGAAAACAACGATAAGAACGTGAGCGGCGAGCGACTGTCGCGGGATGAGTCGGAGTTTGGGCACGTCGAAAGGGGATCGGTCCTGAAGGATATGCGGGCGAATCGAGCCAAGGCACCGAAGAGGAGGCCACCGACTTCGGCGGGCAGTATCATTGGGGAGTCGTCGGGAAGCAATGGGTTGAGTAACGGGAACGCTGGCTTGTTCCATCAGCTGTCGCAGAGTGGTACGGAACCGGAATCACCCAAGCCGGACCTCTTGAACGTTAGCCATCTTAGCAATAGCAATGAGGATGATGTCATTGCCAAACCGAAGGCCCGCGAATGGGAGAAGCACAAAGTACCGTGGATGGACGAGCTGAAGGCAAGCCAGGCAAAGAAGACCTCCCCGAATGTGAGCGAATCGAAATCCCCCGAGCACCGTGATACCGTGACGTCCAGTAACAACCATCTTCACCAGGAGGAGACTACCAAGTTTGACAACATTTCCAAATCATTCCACATCAGTTCCGCAACCAGTTCGTCGGTGTCGGCTTCCGGTCGGGCGAGACTATCGGAACGGGCCGCTACCACCAGCAGCGTAGCGGATGTTACGTCCAGTACGGCAAACAGCGTTAACAATAACAGTTCCTTCGACTTGATTGCGTCCAGTAGAAAGGAGACAACCAACAGCCATCATCAGCAGTCGTTAACCAACAGTAGTGTAGATCAGCATTCCAGTAGCACTAGCAGCAGCAGCAGCAGCAGCACAACCACCAACACCACCACGAGCAACAACGTTATGACTAAGTCAATGTCTGCCCTTTCAACCAAGATTGCCATTTCGTCGGACAGTGCGAACAGTAGCGCCAACGACGTACCTACCAGTACCAACAGCAGCAATCGCCCGATCAGTGTGAACCTGCGCAACCGTAGCATATCACCGACGCCCATCACCCGCAATACCAAGACAATCCACATAATGTCAACGACGGCAGCAACCAGTGGACCAACAATGGTGGTGGAAGCTGCGCCGACGAACAACGGAACAAGCACCACTGCCATCGGTGGAAGCGCCGGATCGGTCACCTCGGACAACATGTGCTCCCGGGTGCAGGATCTTGAGCAGAAGGTAAACCGCATGGAGCGGCAACTGACCACCCAGAACAACCTGATCGAAGACCTGAAGCGGCTACTCCGCGAGGAATCCGACCGGGTGAAAACCCTGCAAAAAGAACTGGAAAAGTACGCGCAGTGCGTGACACAGGTATGATAAATCGTTCATACTGCCTACTTCGTTTTGTTATTTCAATCAAATCGATTTTGTTTTTACCAATGTACATTCGACCCCCGCCGTTTCCAACCATCATGGTGGGGTGCAACTTTCCTACGCTGTAAGCGTAACGAGCAAACGCATTCATCAAGCGAAAACAAAAAAAAAATACATTCCTAGCATTTTTCCCTCTACTACTACAAACATACCTTCCTAGTTCGCGCGCAGCAAAAATAGGATTAGCTACGAAAATTTCGCGAAACGTTTAGCAAAAAAAAATCTTTATCGCCTAGAAGCCTGATCAAAAGTCTACACAACTGCAACACTACACTTGAAACCGTCTTTACTTGTATTATCACGCGAGAACGAACGATAAAAGTTGGACACACACACACACACACATACACTCTGAGCAAACATTTCGGCGGAAAATTTGATAGGAAGGAAACCAACAAAACAGACAGACAGAGTATTATAATTCAGTAGTTAAGTAAAAACGAAGTGGTACTTTGACGTAGAAAGTATTAGTAGAAAACCCCGGAATGTGGAACGGAAGTACCATAATACGATTAGATGATGGATTTGTAGCGCACAAAGGAACGGGGATTCCAAAATTTCGCCTAAATTCTTTGACCGGAACTGCTTTGATAGTTTTTTTTTGTGGCAATATCGTTTCCCAGCAAGTCTCTACGTGCAAGTGAATCGATCTCCGAAGGAGTAAGTCATTACAGCGATTCCTTTACGAACGACATACGAAGCACTTGTCTTTAAAGCCACCGTAGTAAACAAAAAATCGCACCCATACAACGAGACAATTTACAAATTTGGCCTTCATTCTAGCAGTTCCCTCAAAAACTTAATCGGTGCACAAACTGTCATTCCCCCTTTTCGATAAAATTTTGTTTAACTCCGAAATCCCCCGGATAGAGCAAAAATTGTATTCCTATTCTGTTTGCCCCGTCTGTCGATTGTGAAACGAATGAGTATTTGTTGCATTTATTAAAGAGATTTGATTGTCGTCCCCTTATGACCAAGCTTGGAACGGACTAATGTAGGACCACGAACTGAAAATCGAAAGCAAATAAAAAACAAACTAACAAAACCAGACGGACAGCGCACGTGTAGTATTACTATTAATAACAAATAATGAATAGGAAAAATCGCGCCACTACGGAATTCAAAAGGCATGTGAATCGATAGTTACTGATACTGAAGAGAACAGGAGTGAATTAAAGCAACAACCTTAAGGTGATAGAGAGGGACTTGAGAGCCGCGAAGTGCTATAAACGTTAAATGTCCAATCTTAAATTCGATCGGCGGATTTGCAAATGAGTGTGATAAGTAAAGTGCATACATAGATGCGACCCGTTGCGGTGATAAGTGATGGATAAATCCCTATTTCCAAACACTCACACATTGCTTATCAACTTCTTTCCATAAACAAACAAAAAATGCAATCCGTACATACGCGACACACACACACACACACTTTGTAAACGACGCAAAAATGTTCGCCATTTTTTTTTCCTGTACATATTTGATAGTGAAGTAGATATACCTTATACATACAACCTTATTTTATTTAGCATTTAAAATTCCATAAAAGAAAGCATACAATCGCTTTATACATTATACAATATTGAAACAACTTCATGATACATGATAAATTTATGTAATAACTATTCTAATAAATTCGCTTTTTGCAAATAGAATTAAAATTGGAGAAAAAAAAATCGGTTGTGTGAGGATTTTTCATCCGAAATTGTCCGCCCTTTCCGGTGCTAATATCACATAGTATAGTCAACCGGTGGAAACTAACGATTTTAAATTGGCTCACTACTTGACTAGCCTATTGGTCCCAAGCAAATCGATTAACGTATCCCATTCTAGTAGAAATTCTAGCACTACACTATGTTTGTTTTGATTCGCTATGAAAGTTTGACAGATAAAATGAGGGGTTCGTGGATTTTCCTATGTTTCGAGGGGTGCATCGATTAGCTTGGGACCGAAGAGAGTACCAGAGCTGAGCCAAAAAGTTGAGCACGTTTCTTCGGGACCTTCTGGTCTTATAGTGGTTAAATACGGTTTTGATAGAGTAGAGCAGTTCAACAGTTGGGCTAAAAGTAACTAAGTAACTGATAATAGCGCATTAGTAGATTGGTGAACATATGCCAAGCAGGTAGTATAATTGGATGGATCGTGTATTCGGTCTCCTTCGCTTGACTTATTCTACCACCGACTCGCAGTAGCCCATTTTCAGCGACGAATGGATGATACCAACGCAGAGGCGGATGATCGTGGAACAAATTTTCCTTTAGTTAGTGCGCTGACCTCAGGATGAAAGGTTTCTCGTTGGACTCGTAGTATGATACAAATTTCCGCTTGTTGTAATTCCTCCGTTGTAAGGTAGCCAGGTGTCCGCCGAAATCTTGGTTTCGGTTGTAGATTGTGCATGTACCGCAGCAAATAAGCCGTTATCCGGATCAAAGCGGTGAAGCTGGAAAATCGTGCTACATCTGGTTGTTCTGGAAATCTGGTTGTTCTGATGCAGCTACTACGTACACCGCACGCCTCCGTTCTTCCTCGTTGCCCTTTTCAACGCTTGATTGTAACCAGCAAGGACCTTTCCACCAGAATTGGTTACCAACTATTTCTTCTGGAAAAATTCCTCGCGATATGAGGTCTGATGGGTTTTGCACGTACGTGTCCCCAATGGCAATTTTCCGTGGATGCTTGCACTTTGGACACACGATTAGCGACAAAAGTAGTGACAGCCAGCGCAAGACGGTCGCTGAATAAACCCAAAAGTTTGACTCTCCAGAGAAACGTATCGAAGTCTTGACTTTGAGGTACAACTCCGAAGCCAGCACGGCCCCGCATAACTCCAGCCCAGTCTTGTAAGCGGTCACGGTAGTCGACACATTTTCTGTGATATTTGACTGCCCTTGCCTCCGACACTTGCAAAACAAGCTATCATAGTACACTACCAAACTAAAATGTCGTATGACAGGCTCTGTCATACGACACTGTCGCTGAAGACCGTCACGAATGTATGTATATTAGTTTTTCTCATAATAAGAGCTGCTGATGGTGTGCTTGTGTGAATTCTGAAAATAGCAAGCAATGATGTCCTAGTAATACTATTTCTAATCAGAAATGGTTTGATTTACACCAAATTGAGGAATTACAACGAAATCGCACATGTCATATGATAGCTATTTTGATAATTTTCTTTTAGCTCGAATGTTATTCTACCGCTCGTGTTGTGTGAGAGAAACGACGGTAGAGCATGAGTGTTCGAATACAAACAGACTGTCGCGCACGACAACGAAGCGAGTGTAGTAAAAAACGTCAACTGTTTCAACCCCTGCTCCAGCCTACACACAAAAAAATAATCATTGCTAAAATTAAAAAAAATCCATTGGTAGAATTAAAAGTTTGCGTTGGTTCTTTTTGGTAGAAAGCGGTTATCTTTCAATACAAAAATAAGCCAACCGTCAGATCAAAAGTTGCCTGCTCACTGCTTCTAAAAGTTGAAACTTTCAAAATGAATTGTACTACTGTTAAATGAAAAGTTTGGCAGTGTTGGAATTAAAAACGGATTCATGTTATTTCAAAACAAACTTTTGGATTGAACATGAGATATAATTAAAACCTCGATTAAAACAATAAGTACTATTTTGAATGAAAAAGACAATATTTTTAAATTGATAACGAAGATTTTTAACAAAATTACACAATTTTCCATTTTATATTCTAAACAATCGTTTTAATTTCAAGCAGAATGCTCAAAAATTAATTTTTTATTTATCTTTTTATTTTGGTTTACAATTAATTTACCGTTATGCAACGAAAGATATAAAAATTACTCTTGATGCTAGGAGGCCATATTTTACATTGAAGGCAGAGGCTGCGTAGCGCTTTCATAGGGCTTAAACCTTCAACACGTCGTCCTGGAAAATTTCGTAGTCTGATATAAAAAAAAAGTAGAAGGGTCTGTGCCTAGGGGCACGAACGGAAGCTTGACGTAGGACCGCTAGTGGACGGAACAAATGTGAACATTTAGTTCTTTTAATTGATCAATCATCAAATTATCTTAACTCTTTCCGTTTTTTATTTGTAAGCGAATCAAATTTGCAGTATTTATTTCAAAGAGAAAGTTGATGAAGAAAATCCAAGGGACTGTCAACTGGAGTATTTTCGTTTCATCTACCCGACTTTAAAAGGTGTATTTTGATTTTTTTGTTATTTATGAATTTTTAAGTTTTGTGCATTTTGGTATTAAAGTGTATTCAATTCACCCCTCACAGGATTTCCTTCCGAATTATATGAATGGGGCGGAGCGCAAAGTATCGTTTGTGCACAATATGTAAAAAGGAGGGACTTCGAGAGATTGAACTCGTGAGAGCTAATTTTCTCACAAATCTGATTTTATTGGCTTTCTGGGGACTGAATTTACACCAAAAGCGAATTATTCCCACTTCTCTCAAATTCTATATGGATTTTAAACACTTCCTACCAGCGTGTTCTGGAAAATGGTCGGACGATGATTAATCTCAGGGTTGATGCATATATTATGTCACGCTCTAAGGGGGGAGGGGAGGTTCAAAGATTTTGTGACAAGCAATGCATTAGGTATAGAAAAAACGTCACGATAGGGGGGGAGGGGGTAATTTTTTGCTCGATTTAGCGTGACATAATTAATGCATGGACCCTTACCAATACATTCGGGCCTACAATTCCACACCTTATATAGAGACCAGGTTGAGCCTTGATAGCTAGCTGCTGGCGGGAACTGATGACCTTGACAAATGTCCAAATAATACTCTTAACAAATATATGGTGGTCCTGAAAAGGACCATTTTGTAGTGATGGTTGAGTAATGCTGAGCTGAGCACGACGAGCTACTGATTCCGATCCTAGCCTAGCGGTGGGACTTCTTCCTCCTTCTCTATGGTTGCTCATATGAGCTCTGCAGCTCGCTGCTTGCAGGCAGCCTTTCGTTGTTGTTGTTGTTGAAAGCACTCCTGCTGCTGCTGCTGGACTGGACACCACCACTTACGGTGATTGAATGAGCACCGTTCAGTGGGACCGCATCAAATTCGATTTTTAAGTCTGTGTTAGGGAATGCGCTGTTCTCAGACATTTGGTGATAATTTTGATCACCATTGCAACAGTTGGACATTTGGTATTTTTCAATAGTGACCTATTGAAAATTAGCTAAGTGTTCATTCTAGCAGATTGGTAGATAAATTTCCAACCGTTTGGCTTGTTTAGAATTAAAATCTATCTGCTATTGGTCGAAACCTGACCTCTTTTCGTAATGCTGTGCATTTTGGTTTTTTTGAAATTGCGTGGATTCTACAGATCCTGTGGAGATCTATCTAGCCCTGATGTTTGTGTTGGTAGAGGGAAAAATGTAAACTTTGCGGGAGACGATGTCTTAACACTCGAAAGCATTTTTGTGAAATATGAAGTAAAACAAATCCCAGCTAGTTCTGCATGATGATTTTGTTTGATTTTATTTATTTGTAAAGTCGCCGGGAAATACCCGCTGGCGATTTTTTTTTTTATGATAACTCCTTACTTGAAAACAGGCAAAACTCACAAACAGGCTGCTTTTTCATGGTACACAGTGTGATGATTCAATAATCAATAAATTATCTCAACATTTAGTGGCAAACCATTCATAAATTTTGGTAACATACAAAAAATTCTATAATCCACATTAAATTTCATATGTTAGCGCCGATTGAAACAATTTTTTTGACGTCACTACAAGGGTGATTGATTAAACGAAAGAAACGAATCGTGCGGAAGCCGAGGAAAAACTAATTGCATCAATATATTCAGGCCTAGGGGCGAGCCAGCTGTACTCAAAGTTAATACTTTTGCACCGAGTAAATTTGAGTAACTCACAATTACTCAACAATGATCAAAGTAGTCTGGCCTTATATACATCAACAAATACAAATCACAGTGTGAATAAACATTATGTGTCAGAGGAGAAGGAGAATTAGAATTATTTTATTAATTTCTTGATACAAATCGTTATTTAATGAATTGAATTCATTCGCAGCATGAAATCTAAGCAAAATCTAAGAACTTTGCTTTGAAGGAAATATCCGAAGATGGCCTAACATGAAAAATGTATCCGTATAATCCGGCAAGGCGTACTTTATGAGGCCTTCATGTGCTTGCCAAATCAGAGGTTCTGCATGTCTACAATTGCAAACTGCATCATTTCAAATAAGAATGGATAAGTTGAGAATTCAAGATGGATTAGAGCTTGATTTGGTTTTATGGAAACATAAAATTTTAAATATGGCTATACGATGACAATGTATTGCTTTTCTATTAATCTCGGGTCGAACTTAGTGGCAAATAGAAATGCCTATTTTTTGGTACAAGCAATGTAAATATTTACCTTATTTGACAAAACCCAGGTAATCATGACAGCAGTAGATCTCTTTTCTTCATTCAAATTGTTTTCAATAATCAAACGTCATGATGACCTGGGTTTTGTCAAATAGGGTAAATATTTACATTGCTTGTACCAAAGACTAGATATTTTTTTTCAGAAAATCATGACAACCAGCATTATTTTTCTAGACTTCTCTGAATGCCCAAGTATTATTGCAGAACTATGAGGTTACTGCCTCAAAGTTCTGCATTAATTATTGGGCATTCAGAAAAAAAAGTCAAGGAATACTATTACAGAGTAGTAATCGTAGCGTTGATGCCTTTCG